AAAAAAAGACCGTACCCTTTTATGTAATGATGTTTACTTTGAATTTATATTAGTTCACACAAACACTCCATCCATGCTTTTGTTCCGGCCCTCCGGTCCACTTTAAGAACCCACTGTGGCCCTCGAGTCAAAAAGTTTGCCCACCCCTGCTCTAAACAGTCCCCATTTGCCATATAGTGTTTCTGCAAATAAGCCTTAGCATGACAACTGAACTGAACACGTCCCATTTATCTACGAAGGGAGTTAAGAGTGAATTCATTTAGCTGCTGTCTATCCTCATGCAGCTCTAGCTGATGGCCCAAATAGACCCCAGAAACAGGCACACAGCTGTACTGGCCACATAACTTCTCTGAAGGCCCTTCTTATAGTCTCACACGAGAGGCACACATCACTTATGGGAATGGGAGCACCATTCATTCATTCACCTGTGGAGTAACATGACAGTTTTGGTCTACAAAATAGGAACACAAGCTTATAAAAATATAGTATGATGGCTATCCTGAGCAAAAAATTGTCCAAAGCTCATTTGCACAGGATGGTTAAAAGGAAAAGCTTTACCTGAGCTGCTTTTTTATTATGAATTTTAAGTTACACAGCTAGTAAATGAGCATATTCTCCTCGTAAAAAAATTAAGTTACACAGCTAGTAAATGAGCATATTCTCGTAAAAAATTTTTTGAAAGTCTCAGGTAAGGCTAAAATAACGTCTGTTTTGAGGACTATACCCCACCCGACCCTGCCCGGTCTCCTCCCTGGTTCATTCATGGCACTTTGATTTTTCTTTCCAATTTTTAGCACTGGATATACATTCCAAAATGACTTCAGAATGTCTTATGAGCAAAACACACTGAAGCCATAAATACATTTTGTTACACCAACAGAATACTAACCAATGAGACAGAGGAGTTAGGGGTGGGGTAACGGAGCACAAACATGAAGCTAAGTCTCCTCTTTCTATATGGATAAAATAAATCAGACTAAAAGTGGAAAAGGTTTTTCCTTCCTGTAATTCATAATTCTGTCTGTAACTCGGCCGCTCCCTTTCAACATCATTTTGTCGGGATAGACATAAATCGTGCCAAAAGCCTGGCTGTCCGGAGCTGTTTCAATGACTCCTTCCACGTTGATGTGGTGCACACCAAAAGGATCCTCAGAGTAGCCACCGTCGTGGGTGTGACCGGCGAAGAAACACACCACACACTCATGAGACCAAATGACTGCGAGGGCGTCTCTGTAATTCCAGGCCAGGCACACAGAGTCAGAGGCCTCTGGGTAAATGGGAAGATGACCTGTTAGTTAAAGAGAAGAGTTGTGAGCCAATTAGGATATACCACTTTCACCAAAATAAATGGCTAAAAACGAGTACTCAGGAAAACAATGTGCATTGCTCCTTCATTATGGGCTGAGACCAGCGAGAATTCACATACATGAAGAATGAAGTAATCTATAGCCAGGAGTCTGGAGCATAAAGGAGGGTGAGATAGTTCACATGCAAGGCAGAGGCCACAGCAGAGACAGAGCCCTGCGAGTCCCAGGATGTACACACGTCAAGGGAGACAGAGGCATCCCGCACAGGGCAGTCTGCAAAGGCAGTAGAATCAGGCCAGTGCTGTGCTGGAGTCCAGCCTTCGACTTCTGAAAGTATAGACATGTTACATGCACACACAGAGGTACTCTTACATAAAAGATAGCTTAGGGATGGACCAGTGAATACTATGTCATTTTTTCTAAACACTCAATGTTTTATAAAGAGCTGATTTATGCCCCTTTAAACACCTCCAGGAGAACAAGGTAGTCATAGCCATTTTAAAGATGAGAAAACTAGGCGAAAGTGGGGAATATTCATACTAGGTCCCACAGGAGTAGATGCCAAGACGTAAATGAGGCCACATCCTACATCAGGCCACATTTCACTCTGAAGGACAGATACAATAAATAGCCCATTGGTCTTTGCTTCTTCCCACTAATTCTGTTACTGTTTATTTTTATTCTGCGTAATATCTACTAGTTTTGTATAAAAAGGGGGGCTACTAGTGCACACCTGTTCGCACACATACACTCAGCTCCTCTTTAAGATGTGACAAGGGCTAAGGGTCCAAAGAGGCCATGTGACTTTCCAGATCTAGATGCCACACTGGACGCACCTATCAAATCCCTGTAGCGTTGGACACAATTAGTTTGCTCCCTTTTTCTGGAAACACCTGGCTCCCAGGACAGTACCAATCCTCCCAGTTTCCCTCCAACCTCAAGGCTACTGATTCTCACTCTCCTTTCCGGCTCCTCATTTCCCCAGTATCTTATTAGGAGTGCCTGAATGCTTGGTTTGTGGGCTTCACTTCTGTCTACACCTAAAGACTTGGTGATCTCTTAGCAATGTCCATAGTTTTAAATATCATCCGTATTCTTTCAACTTCCACATTTATACACCTAGCTCAAACCTCTATTCTGAATTTCAGATTCATTATACTCAACATCACTGCTCATGCGTAACAAGCACCTGAAAGTTAATCTTTTCAACCTTGAACTCCTGAGCTCTCCACCCAAAGCCCCCTCCTGCTGCAGTGTTCCATATTCCAGCTAACAGCAATTCTGTCTTCCAACTTCATGGCCAAAACTCTAGAATTAGGCAAAATGACATGTGAGTAGCCAAAAGGGAAGTGTAAAAGCAAACAAAAAGAAAATTTCGATTAGTCATTTTAAACTTTGCTAAAGAAAACCTAAGGCACCGAGTTAAAGGTTTGTTCATCCAGTTTCTAAGCTTACAGGAAAACAGGAGAAATTTTAGAGACTGATAATGTAGATTAAGTGCACTGACATAAATACAATGAGAAGATAGGATAGTGTGGGAAAGGGGCTGGGATACAAAACATGGACTTTCTAGCCTCAATTCTGTCAGGAGCTGAGGGATTTTAGCTATGTTGTTTAATCTCTTTTGGTTCAGTTTCTTTATCTTTAAAATTAAAAGGTCTGACTATATGTTCTCTAGGTCCCTTTTAGCGACAGTATTCTCTAAAGCAGGGGTGGGGAATGTCCAGCCCACAAAATCACTTGGTCTGGCCCTGCCAAAGCATTAGGAGTGAGTTAATTAAATGTCTGACCAAATATAGCAGGCTAATTTTTAAGTTGATAATTTTGTATGGCCTGGGAATGATGTTATAAATATCCAAATGGCCCTTGGCAGAACAAAGGTTCCCCATGCCTCTAAAGTCACAAGTACAACTTAACAGCGAAGAAGAGACAGGTCAAGAAGTCTCAGTTTTTGAGGCCACTCATTGTAAAGCCAAAATAGTGTCACATTATGCCAATAACCCCTGAGGGTCCCTTACATTTTCCAAGCCTTGAATGATATTTGATGGTAGCAGAAACACCCTTAACTCCATCTACATGTTTTTACTACATCAATGAAAGTTAAGTAAAAACTATATTGATAGAAACCTCATTTTATATCAATTACCTGAGCAGCCTATCATTTTCTTCACAATTTCATTTGATGCAATACTGAGAAAACTGCAGTTTGTAGGTTCGACATATGCCCAATCAAAGCTCACAGATGTAAGAGCCAGAATGGCATCCTGTCCTTGTGACCCTTAGTCCATGTTCTTATCCATTACGCCACATCAATTTGATCCCTAAAACAAGGGATATAATCTCAGCCCCCCAACCAAGTATACCAGCCACACGCAAATCCCAAGTCAGTTCTTAGTATATACATAAATGTGCACACAGCCAATGCATGTGCTGTAAGCACCTCCAGATTCCTAAATCTCTGATGGCAGCATGTCTGTCAAAAACAATTCTAAATGAAAACAATCATGTAAGTGCTCACTGCCAGTAGTTGTATCTCTAACACCTGTCCCTGTTACATCGGCTTTGCTTTCATCCAGGCAGCAGGGCCAGAGGTGTGGTGGGGACCTAGACTGAATTTTTCATTTAAATATTACTATGTAAATTGATCCCATTTGGAGAAATTCTACTATGAAACCTAAAAAGCCAATTCACAGGCTCTAGTATTTGGCAAGATGTTTTTGTTACTTTACAATTCAATTCTTCCCTGACTCGACCTTAAATGTTAATCTCATACTTAGATTTTAAATTTAAACTAAGCATTCATTTTACTGAAAGAGGATATCACAACATGTTATTAGTATGCTTTAAAATCTAATTTCCCATTCTCTAAAATGTTAATATACACAAATCATTTAAATACTTACTCACGATCACCACCTTTTCTTGGTTTGTGTCAGAGAATGTAAGGACTTCATTCAACCAGTTCAGTTGTTCTTGGCTGAATCCTCCATTAAACTGGACAAACTGAGGCTCAGAAAGTCCTGAAATAAATTCTGTAAGTTAGATCCACCAAATACAATTTTCTCATCATTAGGGCATTTTAACTTAGCTAATATGGGTAACTTATACTTCTCTTTAGGAACATTTGGCAGCAATCGACTTAAAACAGGAAACCACAAGAATTTAGAATATACAAATAAATCACACTGTACCAGTATCTTGCTTCTAGTCTTGACACTCTTCTGCTTATTTCACTAGCTTCCTGTTACACTGAAAATAAATTAGACTCTTAACTGTCCACAGGGCTCCTGCAAAATCATCCTGCACACTGGCCCTTCCCTGCGTTCAAGAATGCCAGCCTTAGCTATGCTTAGTGCCTCTGCATTTGTTCATCCTTCTGTCACAAATACTCTGCCCAAGGATGACTCCCTCCTGTCATTTAGATTTCAGCTTAAATGTTTTCTCCTTGGAAAGGCTATCTCTGACCTCCTAAACTAAAACAGTCCTCTCAGTCATACTTCATTTTCTTGGTAGGATATATCATTGTGGAAATAATCTTGTTACGATTTCATTTATTATTTGTCCTACTTTTCTTGTTCCTTCCACTCTACCCATTAAAAAAGTGATATTGTCAATACTGCTTACAGTCCTAAATAGCTAAGCTCTAGAAAAAGTGCTCAGCCCAGAACAATCACTCAGATATTTAAATAAATCTTCAACCAACACAGCAACCAATCCATGTGCCATGAGGCTTGTGAGAAATCCTGACCCTGAACAACAGTGACAATATACTTTTACCTTAGTCATCCATCTTCCTGCCGAATAAAAGGTAGCTGAAGAATTTAAAGACAATGTATTAGACTCTCAGCTCAAAGGAATAATTCACCTTGAGGACTATTCAATTCCATATTTGGATTGTGCTCCTTCAGCATCTTCAGACACTGCTGGTATTTTGGAGAGGACTGGTCCACGCCCAAGACACTCAAGTCATAAGAATCGAGTAAAATGAACCGGAATTTAGGGAATGGAACAAAATGGTAAGCGTAAAAACTCCCCGTAGGCACAGTTTCTGGATGGTGTTCAATCTGGTCTTCTAGAAACTTTGTGTTCAGTTTAGAGTTTGTTAAATAGTCTCTGCTGAAGTTATAGAATTCATGATTTCCCCACGTGTGATGAACTGGGACTTTAAGCCTTTGGAACACGTTCATAACAAGTTCTAGTGACTTTTCTGATGCTGTATC